TAAATTAATAAAAGTTTTTATACGGAATCGTTTGTATTTTGTATGAAGAGTTACGAAGTGTGATTAAAAAGGTTTGTGAGTCACCCAGATAATTTTAATTAAATATTTATAAACTCGGTAATTAGCCGAAATATAGATTTTTAGTTATTCATGTTAAAAGAAGAAGGCGCTAGTGTTCCCGAAGGTCCGTCTGCAATCAGAATTAATATGAACGTTTTAAAAATTATTTTATACTGAAATAAATAAATATACAGGCTAATAAGCCTGTAGCTATAAGCGATAGTTGCTAATTAAGTTTGTAAAGATTGTACCAGCTGTGCAGGGTGAAGAGCAGGTTATCTCAAACGCCCTGCCACAACCCAATTAAAAGAGACTCAAATGTCATTACCGCTGAGAAGTATTTTTTGCCATTTAAGTTAGCATGTCAGAGCAACCGGATTGTCCATTGCGTTCCACCTTGAATTTTTTTTACAGTTGTTTATTAGGATTGCCCTACTTTTAAATTGAGCGCTTTTAAATGTATTATTATTAAACTACCGATATCGATATATTATTAGTAATTTAATATTAAAACTTGACAGAGTGACGTAAACTAATTCGCTCATAGTATTATAACAAAGTATTATGCGTTCAAATTCTCGAAAGCTAATAGCTTCTTTACTATGCTCTCTCTTTATGTTGATCGATTCAGATAAAAATCTCCGAAGTCTTTCTTTCTCTCGCGATATTCCTAGAGTAAAACTGTACAAAAGCTCTACGAAATTGGCGATATTTTTCACGGATCTGGTTCGAGTCTCGGCTCTTGAGGAAGGTGCGCATGTAGAAAGAGTACGCCAACACAGTTTATCCTGCTAAATGGTTATCAATTCTCTATAAGTTCTGTATTGTACATAAATTATAGAATATCTAAACGTTTCTTTTTTTTTCGATGTCCTGTGACATTGTACAATAGAGTTACAAATAAAGATAAAGCCACACTTTACGTATAATCTAATTCAGTCTTTGCTAATGTTACATAATAACGTGCGAAAGAACTAACAGTTAGACTATTTAAGAGGCTAGTTAAGAATTTTAATTGATACTGGAAGCATAAAACTGTTCAGCTAGCTTTACACAAGATATTGGTCTTCTTCTTTATGAAATCGTCAAATTATGATTATGATACATTTCTACATTATCACCAGCATCGAATCTAATCTTATTTATCGTGATACTCTTGAGAAACTGTTAATCCATTGTCTTAACTCGATCGCGGCGCAGAACTGCGTCCACCAATATTGTTCTTCTCCCTCCAATAGATTCCCGTAAAAGCTGTCTACATCAAGCTGTCTACAAAAGCTGTCTCAAAAATATCTATATTTTGTATATTGTATATAACTGTAGAATTAGCTGTGTTAACTTCAACTTCATTACATGTATTTCCCAAAGAATCTTCAAAAGTAACTGGGGAAATTGGTCTCCCTGGAGTAGGATTTGTTGATATATTATCATCAGATTTAACAAATGCATAGTCAGGAATTGCATCAGGGTTAAAAAGATAAATTCCAATGGAAAATTCTAAATCTCGAAATACCGTTTGCTGGTGTTGCTGATTTGTTCCAAGTCTCATTTAATATATAGTCCTCCAAATTGCATTCGTGTAAGTTTTCGGCCAGAATGATTTTTCAGCCATTTAGAAGCAGCATCAGAAAAATTCTTTTTTACGGATTTAAAAACAGCACGATCTAGAGGCTGTAGATAATGTGTAGTATGACTGGGAAGACAAATTAACAAAATGCCTTCGGATTGCGCGAACTCAAGCATTTCGATAGAATTGCAATGAGAAGAATGGCCATCTAGAATCAAAGCTACAGGTCCTACTAGCTTTCGGGGAAGAAAGTGATTTTTAAGCAGTCAAAAAATAATATCGTGTTTATATACATAAGCTGATTTTTCAGACATGTAAACAACAGATCCTGGAGGTATGCCATCTTCGAATTTTTTTTTCTTTCTTTCTTTCATTATACAAGCCGGAGAAAGAAATATCATCCTCTGCATTACAGCAAGTTACTACTGTTATTGTTTCTCCAGAACTTACAGAGAAAACAGATTTTGAACATCAGCGATAACATGGCAGGACAATTATTTAACTGTAAGTCAGTTTCATCCATATTATAAATAGAACCTGGATTATTAAATAGCCCATTTTGTTCAAAATTTTCACCCAGAAGTTTAAAATACTCACTTACTCTTTGTCTATTCATACAAAGACTTCTGGCAAGAGATAAACTTTCTTATTTGCGTACTGAAACATCAGGATGTCTAGACAAAAATGAAGAAAGCCACTCATATCCAGCTTTTTGAGTTATATTATTGAATCTATGTTTGATTTCAAGTTGATTAGCAAAGTTATAAGCCAGTGTACGGTGTACGAAGATCATCTCGAGTAAGTAGAAAACCATGCTTTTGCATCATTTTAATATGGTGCACCAATCTTTCTTCATTCTTCATTCCAAGCGAGCAGGTTGGCCCCATTCCACCCTTTGTTGCGTTAGCAGATTTAAATCTTCTTTCAAGAGTCTTTCTGGGAATACCATTTTCAATGCTTGCTTGACGTATAGAAGTGCTATTTTTAATGGCTTCTAGAGCTGCAGTTAACTGCTCCTGCGACAATTTACCTCGCGTATGTTCTCGATTCCCATTTTTATTTGGCATCTATAAAAACACAAAACACTGTCACTACCACGGTCTTATGTAAGACCGTGGTCACTACTTATAAATACCATTCATAAATATTATTATTGTCTTTTTGAAAATTTTGAAGTAATTTTTATCACCTTGCACGTATATATTGACTATACTTTGTCAGTACACAAGACAGTAGGTTTTATAACCTCACTTCCTAACCTCATTTTCAACAGTAGAGTTTACCGTTTTTCCATATAAGTAAAAGTTAATTGACTACCTTATCACTTGTTATGCGATAAGTATTGTTAAATTCTTTCTATAGAAACTCAAGAAGTAACGCGATATCGAGCAATTAAATAATGAGATTCTCGCTTGATAGCTAAATACTTACAAAGTAAATATCATAATATTTCTCGAAACTAGAACAAAATCAAAATGAAAAATCTTACTTTTATTGCACATCATCCACAATCCTCTTCTATAATAACAAAAAACTAGTGTCACGAGCTGTGTGATAAGCAATCGACGTGGGCCATCTTACCCAAACTGTGAGGAAAAGATGACCATAGTATTTATAAATAAATAATGAAAATAGAAATACAAATTATAGGTCAAATTACAATTTATACATACCTTAATTATGTGTGTAAACGTTGATTACGGCAGCTTAAAGCCGAAATCACACGAAGTACGATTTCTTGTATGATAGACATGCCGCTATGCATGCTTTGATACATGCATAGACATGTTCATGCATTGAACCAGGCACGCAGGCATGCATCATTGCATGCATCAATTAAGACATTGAGGCCGGTATTTAGTTGGTTCTTATTTTAAGTAATGTCTTAAGATGCTAATACGGCTCTGTGATTGGTTAATGGCATCTTAAGATCGTACTTAAGACGGACTTAAATATAAGATTCGACTTATGAATACGGCCTGAAAATAGTCACGATCGAGCAGACGATCGACAGCATTTTCAGGAAAGAAATTTCAATTGTGTTAATTTCGTAGTACACGTCGATCGAAAATGTCGTGGAGTAAAGAGCAGATAACAGTATTAATAGAAGCGTATAAAAAAGAACCTACACTGTATACTGTTGAACAACCAAATTACCATAATAAACATTTAC